AACAACAACAACAACAACAACTACAACAACAACAACAACAACAACAACAACAATAACAACAACAACAACAACAACAACAACAACAACAACAACAACAACAACAACAACGACAACAACAACAACAACAACAACAACAACAACAACAACAACAACAACAACAACAACAACAACAACAACAACAACAACAACAACAACAACAACAACAACAACAACAACAACAACAACAACAACAACAACAACAACAACAACAACAACAACAACAGCAACAACAGCAACAACAACAACAACAACAACAACAACAACAACAACAACAATAACAACAACAACAACAACAACCCCGCGGTTAACGCCCATTCCACCATGATAAACAACTTACCAGCACAGCTGCACCAGGTCCAACCGCTCCACCCCCATCCTGCGGAGCGACAGCTCCAGCGCCGACTTCACGCTCTTCCTCGTCACCGGCACGCCTCGCCTCAGCCTTAGCGTGTTCAGAAACCTGACCTCTTGTTCTCCGCTAGCCGACCCGGCAGCCTTGCTCGGAAAGAAAACGAACACGCAAGAGGGAACGGAGATTTCGCCGTCTGGCCTAATAGCGGAGGTGTGAGTGGGGCCTGGGGGTAGTGCCGGTATGTGCCCGGTGTTGTTCAGAGGGAACGGTAGTACTTTATGAATCGGAGATTCGGTCCGTGCCCGCCGAAAACACCGGCACTATAACGGGCACCGGTGCTATTCAACCGGCGCTACTGCTGAGGCCCCCCCGCGGCTGTATCAATGTCGCGGAATACCCCGCGTCGATGGGGTACCGCACGACCAGGACTGACGGCATTTCCCGAAAAAAAAAGCGCGGCAGAACAAAATCGCAAGTACAGGGCAACTACATCAACGGCAGCAACGACGACGCAAGCAACAGCAACAGCACGCAGCAGCTACCAACAACGACATGGTGGGACTAGCCCTAGCTAACTACAATTGTAGTCTACGGTGGAGCTCACCCTTAACCAACTAGCCAAGTTGAGCCACTGTTAACTTAACCAACGACATCAACAACAACGCAATGAACAGCAACAACATGCAGCAACTCCCCAACAACAACTTCCGCACATGGCCGAGTGAGTTAACCCTAGCTGCCTATTCTAGAGTGGAACTAAGGAGGTAAGCAGCTACCATCTACTTGTTAAGACAACGACCTCTCGCAGGGAGAGATGGGTGCGGTCGTGAAGCCGGAACCCTGCCCAGCCTCACCGACTTGAGGTAGGAACCCGCCCGACTCTCCGCCAGCGCTCTCCCGCCCCCGGCTCCGTTCCCCAGCATGAACGTCGTTAGACCCATTTCCGCCAGTCGATCCATGGAGCGGAGCGCGTCCGTTGGGTCGCCGGACGTGTCGTCGAGCGGGCCCTGCGTGTCGAAATCGGGCGCGGGACGCGTGAAAGAAAGTAGTGGCATTGTAACGTAGTTTTTCTGTGTAGATTTTCCAAAAAGTAGGAGGAAGCTAAGAAGACGGCTCCTCACAGAACAAACAACCCTCCTCGAGTGGACGAGGGTTCCACAGGTGGGACGGTGTAGTTTATGGGGATTGCGTGCTAGACCGAACCGCTTCCCTCTTTGGGTATTGCCAGTTATGGATAAAAGCAAGTGTGCAATAGCCTTGGCGATGATATTTGTCTTGGTTTTAGAAGGGGCTGCGGTGTGGGGTTAGGGTTAGGGATAGGGATACGAAACTCCCCTCTCAATTCTACAGATTAACAACGAAATCCTCGCAAAGGGCGTAGAACAGTATGTATGCGTATGCCACGCGATGGAAAGGGGACATGTACAACATGCATACACCGGTACGGTGATCACCACCGCGAGGGACGGCCGATGCTCTTCTCACCTGACACAAACCATTGATGACCCGACAAACATGGAGCCCCCCGCTGCCAAGGCTAACCTTCATCGGGTCCGACCCATGCTGACGAGCCTCCTCTTGCTGCTGTGCTTCCCGGAGCACTTCTTCGCTCCTGTCCCTATCCCTCCTCGCTATGTCCCCTATTGTGCCTCTAGGACGCGGCGCAACTTGCAAGGCTCCTCCCCGCCGTGGGGTGTTGATGTGTCGGACCGATGATGCAAAGCAGTAGGCGCCTGCAGCGCCCATGCCGCCGTGTATTCTGCGTCGTCTAGAGGTGAAGTGGCCAGCTGCTGTGCTTCGGTAGTGTGTTGTTGCTCCCCCCGCTGCTGCGGTCACGCCCTGGTGAGCATGTTGATGTTGATGTTGATGTCCAAGAGCAACTCCTCCCCCTCCACCGCAGCAAAAGATTTGGATCGTGGTGGCCAACAGAAACGCAGCAGCGCTACTGGCACCACGGCCGATCTCTGCTGGAGGTCGTCGTCGCCGACGACTTCCAAGGAAGAAGCACGGGGTGAACAACATCCGTGCTGTGTGGTGCACGCTGCCAACCTCCTCTCCAGAGAACAAACTGGATTGCCCCCTGGTTGATGTGCGGCGGAAAACAAACTGTTTGCCCTGGGGTTATGCCGCCTGTAGTTTCTTAGTCCTTATTCTTAGTCGCACAAGCGTCCGCCAAGGAACCACGTCCCCTGAAGACGAGATCACACTTGCTCGCCCGGAACGGGTCTTCAGGAAGTGTGGCAACGAAGAAGAGAAGCCAGCGAGATCTCCCTGCGTTGGCGGGAGCATCGACCCTGCGGTGGTGTGATTAACCAATGGGGGGCTCACACCGTGCCGACGGACGCTTGTATATATCCCCCCTACAGGTAAATTCAAAGCAGAGTATCTGCGGCGACCCCGTTGGCGCTTACCAACTTGCCCAAGCAACTTTGCCAACTGCAAGGCTGAAGGCCTGCGGCAGAGCCGGAGAGCAGGGTGGAGAGAGAGAGCGACAGCAGACGGGATGTGGCAGGCGGCAGGGGATGCAGCTAGGGCGGCCGGGCGCTTCGCCCGGCGCCATCGGCGAGCCATCGTCGTAGGTGGAGTGGTGGGAGCGGCTGCTTGCGTCTACCACAGCATGAAGAGGGCACTGAAGGAGGTGTGAATGATCTGCTTGCTTGCACCATGTGATGGGTTGTCACAGGAGGAAGGCAGAGGAGAGCTGATGCACAGGGATGGTTGTCGGGCTGGATCCTGTCGTTGTGGAGGGCCTGTACGTGCTGTCCGCAGAGTAACTTCTGTGCATATGTTGCTCTCTTGAAACTATTAATAGGAGTATGTACTGCTGAAGTGCTACGTACAACAGCCGCGCACACGATTCAAACCTTGCTCCCCACACGGCCGTCTCACACAGGCGAATCTGTGCTGCATCATCAACTGGCGGCGTGCGTACAAGCAATGCACCAATAGCAGACGGAGTGTAGGCCTGCATCCAATAGCTCAGCTCATCGCGATTCGTGACTCTTTGAAGTACAAGCAACGCGAGTATCTCCTCGTTGGACGCTCACACCTCGCAAATCATTTCGGAAGACCCCACGGCAGTACCGTGCGCGTACAAGCAACTCAATCACCTTGCACGCCCTCGCATATCGGATACGATGAGAGGGAGCAGCGGTGCCCTCGGCCTGTGTACCACACTGCTTCCTCGTCTGTTAGAAACGACTCTGCCGTGGATATCGTTTGTTGGCGCCGAATTTGTGTCGGCATGAAGTCGGCGCACCGGTCAGAGAAGGTCTTCCCCAAACTCCAACCCCGAGCCCACCGCACTCCCCCATGTGGCCTGCTGCTGTCGCAACAAGTATTAAATAGCAGCCCGTAATGATGGGGCCTGCCTCGCCTCTCGCGCTATAGTGCGGCGCAACCGTGTTGTCCCCGTTGCCATCCATCCACATTCAGTGCTAGACCTTCCTGTATTAGAAAATACGGTAGTACCGTAGGTTGCGTAAGATACCACGCCCACAGGACCGATTTTCAAAGCCCGATCATGTACAACTTGTACACAAGAACGAAGAGGATGTGACAGATCAAACGAGTATAAGGAAACATAAATACAAACACATAAGGACATCCCATTCGAGATATGACCACAGTCGGACGGGATGTGTTGCAGTCTTTACAGTGGACGGAGGGAAACCGACTGGGTACTGGGCTTATTTGGCGTCTAATTATAAGCTCATAGTTCAGCACCGACAAAAAATGATCAGTGATGCCAGCAGGTGCTCAGCACAAAATCACTGCTGTATCTAGGTACAAATACCACAAGATATGTTCTCGGAAAACCGCTACATAGACGAGAGGGTTCCGACGCCGCCATTTTCGGCACCATCGCCGTTTTTCTCACACCGTATCCGAGCTTTGACAATCGGGTGTGCTATCTTACGGACGCAAACTACGGTTACCTGACAAGAGTCACCGCAAGACTGGAAGCACTCGTTCGAGAATGTCCCCCAGTCTGACCAAGCATGTGTTGGAAGCCTTACAATGATTATTTCGGGCTTGGTGAGCTCGGAAGCCTTGGAAATCGGTCCTGGGGGTGTGGTATCTTGTGCAACCTACCGTGTTCATGAATCACCTGCAAGCACCCGTTCGAGACACAATAATCCCCATTCAGCAGGGACGTGTTGGAAGCCTTTATAATTTATTGTACAGCAGTATTTCTTGGGGAGCCAGATTCGAATCTCACCTGTGATGGATTATAAAGAAAGAAGATGGAAAGTAGATTTGTCCTATTTCCCTGCGTTCGCCAAGCAATACAGAAACAGTATCTCTTGGGGAGTCATCAGAGACAACAACTCTCCTTATTGTCAAACTTCTCGCCCTGTCTGTTCAACAGGCCGAGGACGAGCACGCGGCCATGCTGGTCCAGGCGGGACACGATGCGAGGAGGAGGCAGTGCATGTCGAGGACCCGCGGGGAGTGCGTTGCCGCCCTGGCCAACTTCCTGCCGGCCCTGAGAAAACGCCTCTTTCTTGCTGTAGATGTCACCGGTCCGGTAAGGCTTTGGACGTCACATCGCGCATGCTCGATCACTGCTGTCTTTGTCGATGAGGGGCTCTTTTGAACATTGCATCTGTCGGCTTGTGACCACGGAAGGTGTCCGCGTTAGTTGGTCCAGTACGGACATTAGAAGGTGCTGAGTGGGAGACCGGAACGGTTTTTAATGTGAAGACAACAACAACAACAACTACTACTACTACTACAACTATAACAATCGTGCATGCTCACTCCCTGGTCTTTGGGGACGGTGGGCTCTTTGAACATCGCATTGTGCATGCTCACTCCCTGGTATTTGGGGACGGTGGTGACTTATCGCCATGTGGATGTAACCGTTTGGAAGTTGTAACCACTGAAGGCGTGCGAGTCGGTTGGACCCGGTGTTGATGTTGGAGCGTACCGTGCAGAGATCGGAACAGTGTTTCATGTGAAGACGACCGCCACAACAGCAACAAATCTATTTGTATCCGATTCAGCAGTGGCCGAAAGAGCCGCGGTGAGAGGGGAGAGCCCTCTCCACGACGGACACCCTCTCAGCGATGCTACAAAGTCGCAATTTCGGAGGCAGGGTCAGCCACAGGGGCTTGTCCTACAGCTTTTCGGCTCAACTATGGAAGGAATATATTATATCTTCCTATGGGGGTTCGTGTTTTTTTTTTTTTTTCACTTTCGGCGAATGCTGCCTGCCGTGTACAACAAACAGGTCCGAGAGCTGAAAGCTCTCAGGACTGGGTTAGCGGGAGCTACTGCAGCGGCAGCGGCGGCGGTTACGACCGATGGAGGGGCAGGGGGCGGCACCGGCAGCAGCAGCAGCGACAGCGGGGGGGGCGGGAGCGCGGTCGCCGACGGTTCGGCGGCGGCAGAGGCGGAAGATCTACAGTCCCGCGAGGTGGAGCTGTGGGAGCAGGTGAGACTTGGTAATTTTCGTTGATTTTTTCAGCTAATGCTTTAGTTGTTGTTGTTGCTGTTGTCCTCTCAACTTTTAAAACTGTAATTGTTCCGGTCGCTACCTTCCAACACGTTTTTTTCGTAGGGCGGTATGTTTTACCGTACGCTGCACGGTTTGCCGGGCTTAGGTATGCGATTTATGGCGGAGCACACCGTGGATGATGGCCGGTTTTCGGGACGGCATAGTTTACTGGGCGCTATACGGTTTTCCGGGCGTAGGTTAAACGTATGCGGTTGCGTTGCATTTGAGCACACCGTAGATGATGATCGTTCCTGACGTTATGGTTTACCAGGCTCTATGCGGTTTATCTCCATTTTTGAGTAGTATTTGAGCGGCTCCGAGTGCGAAGACCGAGTCCATGTAGTCGCGGAGTGTCCTTGGGGAATAAGGAGGAGAGGGAAGTGTACATGACTGAGCTTAGACAGGTAGAAGGAAGGTACAGCGAGATGTTTGAGGCATGGAATAGCCAGGAGAAGACCGTAGCGGTACTGGGGCACAGGAAGTGGGTTGAAAAGCCGGGAAGTAACATCTAAGGATAGAAATAGCTAGGGACGAACATTTTTTTTAGCCACCTTTGTCAAAGCAGGAAGGACCGATTGGCCGTCGGTGATCGGTCATGTGTTGACAATGTTCCGCCCTCTCGAGGACGCGTGGTCAATGGCCTAACCGCTAAGGCATGCAAGATATGAGAGCATTCCCCCCCCCCCACCCCGTTAACAAAGACTCAACGTACCGCCCACCGTCCCGTGAATTCTTTCAGGTGAAAGTGACGGCGTTGACTCGACTGGTGGTGTCCCTGTACGCGTTCAACGCCCTCGCGCTCATGCTGCACATGCAGCTGCACATTCTCGGTGAGCAACATATTTTCCTACAGACGAGGCGGGGGGGGCGGGGGGGGGGGTGAGTGTTAATCCTTTGCGAAAGACACAGAATCTCGCTGTTCTTCGGCTCTCACCCCGGTGCCTATACTGCTGCTGTATTTTT